GGGGTTGTTTTCTTTCTTTTTCATTTCTCTGTTGCCGTTAAGCGTCGAGGGGAGATGCAGCTTTCTATGGTAGGCCAGCTCTTTAGCTCTTTCAATTAGGATATTATAGATCTAGATCTAATCAAAGTTTCTCATGGTTTCCTTTAACCCCTCAATCCATCTTTTGCATGGCCTTCCTCTTCCTTTAAAGCGCCCGAGACTGGTAAACTAGGTGACAAACGTAACAGGTGGCCAAACCATTTTATTCACTATTTTTCTATGAAATGCAGGCAGGCCTCGGTGCCAACAGCTGCTCTGACTTCTTCACTTCTCTGCCTGTCTCGTCTTGTGATGTAAAGGGTTTTGGGGAGACATTTCCTCTCGAATGCAGTGATTTCGTTTCCAAGGGTTTTAATTAATCTCCAGGTCTGGCACTGGTAGCATAATGTTGGTTTGAATATATTGAAGTGATAAGCTGTCTCTTTGTGTTCCTGGAGATGTTTGAATGAGATAGAATGGGTGCGAGCTGGTAGATGACAGGGTTGGCTTTTTGAGTTCAAATTTCTATTTCTCTGTCTAGCCTAGAGATCGTAAATAAAGAGGCAATCTCAGGTTTGGGCCCCAAGAGTAATGAAATGCCAATAGTAACTTTAGAGAGAGGGTTGTGGTTAGGTTTAAGGGTAGGAGTAGAGGGAGAGGTAGGAGTAGGGGTAGGGGTAGGGGTAGGGGTAGGATTGCAGGACTGTAGGACAGATGGGTAGCATAGTAATCGTGAGGCCAAAACTGGATTATCTTAATAAAAGTAGTAACAACCATTGCTATTGCTCTCACCTAGGAGGTTATGAATAGAAGAAATACTCTGAGGTCCTTTTCGCTTGGCTATGTACATTGTACAATACAATACAGTTAAATGGCTGGGGTGCAGAATGTGGAGCCTGAGTCGGATTTTATTGGTGGCATAGGTGATGATGATATTGACTAACCCTAGATGGTGTAACGAGACTGTTATTGTTGTTGTTGTTGTTGTTGTTGTTGTTGTTGTTGTTGTTGTTGTTGTTCTTCTTCTTCTTCTTCTTCTTCTTCTTCTTCTTCTTCTTCTTCTTCTTCTT